AGATGAGGCTGAGTTTGGAGCCTCTTTATCAGATTCTCTATAGAACAGATGACCTGAGCAGCACCACACAGTCAGCATGTTGTCTCTGCAAAGAGACCACAACTGTAATTATACACCAGGTAAGTGGCATAAAAAATAAATTGATCAATTTTGAAAAATAGATGTGGAAGATAAAGAGGAACCTGGGATTTTTATACTATTTTTGATTGAATAGGCTGTAGCCAAAAGAGTTACTTTATGAGTAAGCTTCAGTCCCACCTTCTCTTCAGAAATTAGCTACGATAATCCTGCTCATTACTCTCACAGTCTGATGACTCTTGTCCTAAAGTGAAGCACCCCTCCCAATTCCCCTCTTAATAATATATTGGGACCAAGTGTGATATTATAACAACACCCTGCCTTATGAGCAAGATCCTCAGTAGACAAAGCAGAATAACTGACAACTTAGGTAGACTTTTACATACCTATTGGTTTTTCCTTCTTCTTTTACTTAAAATGAAAATACTGTGCCTTTCCTTTGATGCATTGTATTTTACAGTCGTGAGACAAGATAGCAATGAAATTAATAGTAAGAGCATGACAAACAATAACTCATAACTCAGCTTCAACACCTAGTAGTTGTGTAAACTAATTTTTCTGCACCTCAGTAGCCTCATAATAGTTACTTTGCAGAGTTGCAATGAACTTTGGTATAAACAACATACATTCAAATAGAGCTATCATTATTGTTTATTCCAACCACAGAAATATGCAAGGTCTTTGGCAGTATCTATTTTTTTTTTTTTTTGGAGGGTTAACAGGGAGAGAGTGTAATACTTTAATTTTCTTGGGTTTTTCTTCATTCATTCATTCAGACTGTGTGTATGTGTGTGTGTGTGTGTGTGTGTGTGTGTGTGTGTGTATGTGTATGTTTTCACATATTGTTTGTCACTTGGATAACACTGATGAATAAAACAGACAAAAAGTTCTACCTGACCTGGGGTTTACATTAGTATAGTGGATATAACTGGAAGCTGACAAATGCTAAGAAGCAAGCTAAGAAGGGTAGGAGGTTGGAGTGGAGTGCAACTATGAATAGGAACATCAAAGGAGGAGGCCTTGTTGTGAATATGACTCTAGTTTTGTATTCTTAGATGATTTTTATGTACTATCTTTTAAAGTAAGAGGGAAGGAAGCAGGGAGATGAGAGGAAAGAGTAGCAGCCTACTGATTTGAAGGAGACCATGAACTTTCCTTTGGTGTAACAAATGTCAAAACACAAACTGATATAGAAAAGTGAAGTTTCCATATGGCCTAGTATTATTTTATTCAATGTGAGTAAAAATCTTCCTAAAATATTTTATACATACCCTGCCTTCCCAACCATGTCTACTAAACACATCTACCTGGTCCGTGACTACAGGAAGAGGTCATCACTATGACTGTCCCATCTGTTACTGAACTGTCAGGAAGGAAGTCCTCTCATGTGGGCAAGCATCCTTTTTGTTTCAGTTATTTGCCCTTCACAATGGCCTGAGTCTGTGGTGATTGTATGTTCTACCCACAAGTGGCTGTTTAAATGCAGATATAAATTAATTAAAATTAAATCACATTCAGTTTCTCAGTTACATTAATCGGGTTGTAAGTGCTCCATAGCCACATTTGGCTAGTGGCTACCATGTTGGGCAGCATGGAAATATAATAGTCTGTCCTTGCAGAAAGTTCTATTAGTATTTATTATTTTTTATATATATATATATATATATATCTGTGGTGTTGCTGTTGGTTTTCAGCCATATGTCCTTTTGATTGTTCCTCATAGTTTATCGGTTTAAATAACAGCTACAGAGCCTAGTAAACTAAGAGTAACTAGACTATAAGAGGAATCAGAAGAGTTTTGAATGTTAAAAGTACCTGAGTGGTTACTTGGAATTTATATTCTAACCGCCTCAAGGCTTCTTTTGCTTGGTTGTTGTTTTGTGTAAGAAGTTCAGATTGCTGATTTCCCATAGGAGAAGGGCTATCAAACTTTAAAGGTAAGATTGCACATTCATGGAAATATTTTAGACTCAGTCAATGGTCCCTTATTTAGAGCAGTGTCATTCAAAGTGTGAGTATGAAAATATACACATATGCCAAGCACTGTGTTCCTCCCTAGAAATACTAACTAAAATGAATGTGGCTGAAATTCTTGAGTGGATCACAGTTTAGGCAATAAACAGAGTCATAAGTAGTCATAGTTTCATTTGTCTAGTACCCAGATATGCCCAGGATACCCCAAATGTACAAAGAAGGGTGGTGCATGACTCAGCCTCCACAGGAAGTACAGTAGGAAGTTGCAACAGAACACCAGAGGCCAGAGAATACGCATTAAAGAAGTGATTCTTGAATGGAATCCTAAGGGATAAGTAGGTGTTGGCCACATGATGAAACAGAGAGAATGAGTCAACAAGACACAATGTACAGTAGCATGGACAAAGATTCTGAGAAGTGAAATAGCATGGTGTGTGAGTGGGAACTTTTAAGTTTAGTACTGATGATATGTATGATAGGGATTTAGGGTGTAGAGGTAGCTAGGCTTTTAGTGGTAGGTATGTTTGAATGACAGGTTCTCAGGGAAATGGGAGAAGGAAAGTGGGATAGTGCTGAGGGCAGATTAGACTTTTTAGCTGTTCGGGTAGTTCACTCTGGCAGCTCTGTGGAAGTGGAAGTTGCAGTTGAGGGAGTTAGGTGGAAGCTAAGATGCTAGTGATATAGGAGGGGAGGGAAGGAGAGACTCCTAAGAGGACACAAGTCAGCGAGGGCCTGTTGCGAGAGAATGTAATAGGTAGAATAGAAGACGTGGGTTCAATGGATACTGACATGTAAGGGGCAAAACTACCAGTATTTGAGGATCTATTTGATGTGGGAATGAAGGAGACACAAATCAGAAATAACTCTACTTTCCATAAAACAGGTTAATTTGAATTGTTTTTCTAACTTCATGGCGATAGGTTTTGACCTATAGGTGCTACTAGTGATTGGCATTGGTAACTGTGGTGGCTAGGTTAGGTTTTGGCTCTTTAGAACTCCACTTTCTTATTTATTAAAAGAACTTCAATTGAAACAGAAACCATAGTGAAGTACCACCCTTGTATGACTTTAATTTTGCAGTGGCCTATGAAAATTTATAGAAATTTGACTTCATTTCTAGTGGCTCCAATCCAGACACCAAAATTACCCCATGGCTGGGACATCCCTTGGGTGGACCGTTGAACCTGTTATTCATTAGGCACAGCTGAAAACCATCAGCAAAATTCCTGTACTATGCCAACAATAACGCCAGTCAAATTTCAAGGTAACTCCAGGTCTCAGAAAGTTATGAATCTCAGAATCTGTCTAGCTGAAACTTTATTTGTATTTTAGGCATACTTATTATGTGAAAAAAGCTAGTGATTTCCTAACCTTCCATAATTAGTTACAAATTAAGTAATGAGTTCTGAGTGTTGGTAGAGACATGCTTATGGATCTGTAGGCTATCAATTTAAAGTAAGTACAGATTCAATCTTGAAAATGGAGCCAGAGTAGAAGAGGCACCAACCCAACAGGACCCAGTATGATGAGGCCTATATTGAAAGCAAAATTCTCTTGTAGCTGTAGTGCATTTTAAAAGGATTTTCTAGGCCAGCCGATGGTATGCTAGTTAAGGGGGACTGGATCTCACATAGCTGACTATGTGGCTCAAGTCCCAGACCCTGTGGCCTGAGAAACAAAGGAGGCACATGTATGTGTGTGCCCAAAATCCCGTAAGGAGAAAGAGACAGAGGAGAAAAGATTACAGTGAACATGACCACAGAGAGTGCTTCCTCACTTTCCTCTCCTCTCCTCCTCCAAAGCACATGCACCCTCTAGTAAAATGAAAGTAATAATAATAAAATAAAAGGATTTTCCAAGGAACAGTTAACATTTTAATGACATCTGTTAAGTTTTCAGAAAAACAGTTCTCTAGTTTGCAATATTAAGGGAGTATGCCAAATGTATGTTGATACTTGATTTTTTACTGACATATTTCATAACTACATGGCCAAAGCCACAAAACAGTAGGTCCCTGCTACTTTCTTTTAGATAGTTATATTTAGTTACTGCATCTGGCCTTTGTTGCTAAATATTTTTTTACTTGTCACTCTACTCCATCAAAGTGAATCTTTGGTGGTCTGGCACATTTTGAATGGTTCCTTGCAGGATGTGATGCTTGTTCTCTGATCAGGAAGAGTTGAGCGTCTTGGGGCACAGAGGAAAAGGAGGCACATCTCTTCCAAGCAGACAACAGATTGTAGGACGGTTATACAATATCTTCATAATTTTTATCTGAAGAATAGTAATGTGTTTGGTGATGAACAAGTTCTGTAAATCAAGATGCATGGGAAGTTTCCACATCCTTTGAATATTTTTATACAAAGGAGGAAAAAGAAAAAACAAGCTGACTTTGTGTGGTTCTTGGGAGAGGTTACATTAACCATTTATTAAAAGTCAGATTTATGAAGAATGTTGGCTTCTGAGAGTATTCTTCACAAACTGCCATTTGTTGCATGATGTCATTGAAGGTTGTTTAGCAACATATCAAAATAGTTCTATGAAAAGATAAATATGTGTTTCATTAATCCCAAGGGGAGCTCTTTGAAATGTAAGTTTTAGTAAATAATTAGTGTCGTTCTGTGAAATTCATGAATTCTTCGGGTGGGAAAGAAGGAAAAACAGAGCTATCTTTTCAAGCAGTCTGTGATTTAATACCAGCTGGTCAAGTGAGTTGAAAAATCTTGAGTCCTACATTGTATTATTTTGAATGCCTTTTCTCTCTCAGGAAACTAGCTAGCCCCCACAATCTTTCTCCCATGGTAAATGGCTTTAAAACTTTGATCTCCTCAAACCAGTTTGCCAGATGTAGCATATGTCACCTATAGAGCATATGTCACCTTCTGTGTGCCAATATAACTGGGTTGATGAGAAACCATAAGTTAATCTTGTATGACTTTCATTTCTAGGCATCACAGCAGAAGTTCTGGTGGTGACCTCTTTCAATGAACTGCAGCAAAGGGCCCCAGAAGCAAAAGGGAAGATTGTTGTTTATAACCAGCCTTATGTCACCTACGCAGAGACAGTGCAATACCGTGTCCAGGGAGCAGTGGAGGCTGCCAAGGTGGGGGCTTTGGCAACCCTCATTCGTTCGGTGGCTTCCTTCTCCATCTACAGGTTGGTCATGATGTTTATTTAAAATCTTTTAGAGTTTTCCATAAAAGAGAAGCTCTTATGAAATAAAAACAAACCACTCAAATGAAATTACTGATTGTTCATGGAATTTCCCCTCATTCCACATTTGGTCATTTATTTGTAATATCTTCTCTGGCCTTTTCAGGATTCCAAGCATCATTTTTGCATTCCTTTTAAAAATTTTCCACATCCACAGTGATCCCATAGCATTCCTTATATAACTAATATATTATGTATTTTCATTGGAGGAAGAACTGAGTTCACGTCTGCATTTCATCAAAGATTCCTAATGATTTCAGAGAAAGCCAGGCTGTTTTCCATTTGCTAAAGAAGTGAAATAAGAAGGGAGTGGGTACGATGATGGGGACTATCTATGGTGTAGTGGAAAGAGCTGGGAAATTAGAGGACCTTGGATATAGACCTGGCTCTGCTCCTGAATAATGGTGTGGCCATGGGAATATTTTGTAAACTCTGAGCCTCAAAATTCTCCTCTATTGATGCACTGAGAAGAGTAATAAATATACAAGATTATTGTAAGATTCATTGTAACCTTATGAAAGATATTGATGATCTCCAAGGTCTGTATAATATGTTTGATGATATTGTTTAAGGACAGTATGAGGCTTGACTTTTTCTTTGTAGTCTGGTTGAGGTAATGCCAAAGTGCTTTATTAAGCTTCAATCCTATGGTAAAATTCAATATTGCAGTGAGTCTAAAAATTGACCTATAGACATTTGGCCTAGTTTAACAGCTATTTTTTTTTTAAAGAGTTTTGTGCATGTGCTTGCCAGAGAGACAGAGAGACAGCAAGAAATCACCCTCTGGGGAGGGGGGATGTCCACACTGCAGTCCTGTCTCCTTCATTCTCCTCATGGGATTTTGGGCATGCATGCACAAACGCCTGGTGTGAGTTTTAAGCCACTGGGTCCAGGACTTGAACCATAGTCAACTACGTGGGAGTCCAGTGACATAACCATTACATCATCTGCTAGTCCCAATAGCTATGTATGTTTAATAGCTGTATGTCATATGTTAAATATAAAATATTTGAGAAACATTGACAAAAGATGTACTATCTTAATGTTGCAGTTTGGGCTATGATTTTTTTTAAATGTGAAATAATTGCAGATAAAGTTTATTTACATCTCCAGACTGAATTTTTAATATCTATTATGAAGGAAAGTTTGCTTATTCTGAACAATAGCTGTTTGGAGTTGAAGACACAGCTGCTTGACCTTAATTAGTACTCTGCACCCTTGAAAATAAAATAACTGAGGAGGAGATGTCAGCAACTAGGAAATCGAGTCAGAGAGGGTTGTACAAAAGTGCAAAGAAAAAGAAAAGAGGTTTTTCTTTTACAGAAATAAGATTCCTGTCCAGGGATGGAAGATGAGGCATGTTGAAACCACTTGTTAAAAGTTTTATGAGAGAAAAACGAGTTACACTGATGTCAAAGTGCTAAAAATAATGTTCTTTGTAGAGTCTTTAAAGTTTTCGTGACTAGTGAGATAACGATTGGACCATATTCCTTTGGATGGTTAATCTTCCCAGGAGGGAAGTTCTAAAATGGCTAGCTTACTTCCCAGAATAACCTCAATCACCCCTTGGAATAACATACTCAGCAAGCTGTGGCCATTCACCCTTATTTCACTGGTCATGAGACTTAAATTATGGAACTAGTCTGTTGCTTTGTGAAACTGGGTGATTGCCAGAAATCTTTATTTAAGAACTACTACTTATAAGACCAATAAATTCCCAGATGACTTAATACCTAGTGATCTGCCAGGGTTCATTGACATTTTTCTTTCCTGATATAATGAAGACATCTGGAAACCCAGACAACAGCCTAGAAGTACCAGAATTGTCCAGCATGGGATTTAAAAATCTGTTGTTAGCTTCTAAGGTTTGGGGTAAGCAACTTATAGTGTGTATTAAAAGGACATTTTTCCTAATTTCTAGATCTAGACTGATTAAAATTTTGGGCTATTTATGGCCAACCACATTTCACTGGACTCATCTTTTATAACTGCATTCTTACAACATTTATAAATATATAATAGTGCTAGCCTTTGCATAGTACCTTAGGTTCTTTCATATACATCATCTTATTTGTTCTTATAACAAGTGATTAGGCCCCACAGAAGGGGCATTGTTATCTTTGTTTTATACATAGGGAAATAAAAGTTCAGATAACTAGACACATTAACATCTTGCATCCTGAAAAATAAGTCTTTTTCTACTTCTAGCTTTTTTTTTCTTTTTTTCAGTTTTTTTGCTATAGGGCGTGTGTGCTCACCAGAGAGAGAGAGAGAGAGAAAGCACCCCCTGGAGGGGATGACCACAGTGCAATCCTCTTCTCCTCTTGGGTATTTGGGCACACATGCACATGTGCCCAGCATGATTTTCAAGCCATGAGGTCAGCGACTCCAACCACTCCCATGGCCATAGCTTATTGTGTATAGCTCCTTAACCATCACATCACCTGCTGGCCCTAGCTTATTGTTTTTAGAATCAAGTTTTCTTAAATATTACTTGATATTCTTATCTCTAATTCCTCATTCACTCTGTAGACTTTTTGTTTGTTTTGTTTTTTGATCATGATAGAACACATGTGCATGCATGAGAGAGACAGGGAGAGTGAGAGAAAAAAGTATCCTCCATGGTACCTGGTTGCATTGTGATCTCCTTACTCCAGCCTACCAGTATCCTGGGCATGTGTGTTTCAGGCACATGAGGCCAGAGATTTGAACTGTGGTTAGCTTGTGGCTTCCAGCTCCACTCACTGTGCCACAGCTTGTACCTGTAGACTGTTTTAGCTTGACTTTTGCCAATAACAAAATGAAACTTGCCTGATTTTCACATATGACAGACATTACAGGGCATCATCTTACTTCTCTCTCTGAAGTGCTCATCACTATGACTGCTTTTTTGATTTCTTCTCTTTCTTTTCTGGCTTCCATGACTTCTTTCTCATATATATATTTTTTTATTTCTGTTTCTCTCTCTTGCTCTCATGCTTACTCTTACATTCTTTCACTCTTCCTGTATTTTTTCCCTATTTCTCTGGTTTCTCACTTTGAATATTTTACCTGAGAAATCCCATCACATTTGTAGGTTCTACCACCTGTTTCAAATTTCCAAATCCACCACTCCTATCCATACTACTGCTGTGAACTCCAGACCCATGTGTCCAGTTGCTTATTGATTCTTATTTTGGATGTTCCATATCAATCTCAATTTCAATATTTTGGAATTAAAAGTCATCCTTTGCCTTTTTCTCCTGCATTTTCTGTCTCAGTGAAGACAACACCATATAGTCTACCCTGTAAGTCAGAAGGTCTTTTACTTCTTTCCTTGTCCATCATTTTTAATGGCTACTTAGTCTCTGAGATTCTTTACTAGTCATTTCAATAAATCAATATTGAGCAGCTCCATTTCCCAGCATCACTCCACATTTGAATATTCAGGAATCACTAACATCCCACATCTGAGAAATTAGGAATCAGTAATGCTTTCGCTATCTACCACATTTCTTCAGAACTTCAAGACTGCTTATGTGGCCTTCTCCTCTACTACCCCTCATTCCCTTTTTCATGGTTATGCACAGTTCTGACCGGATTTGAAGGGGAGAAAAAAGAGGAGTCCATCTTAACTTTCATCTTCTGGGGACGCTCTCTTATAGCCAGTTACAGCCCCAGTGAGCCACCTCTGTTTGGTATTCCCAGATCGTGCTGCATATTCTCTCTATCCTAAGGTCTTCAGTGTAGTTTTGCTGCATGATTTGATTAGGTAAAAAAACAGCTTCAAATCTCAATCACTTAATATGGGAGCCTCTTTTTTTTGTTTACATAATAGTTCTAAGGGGGTGTTTATTAGGTGGCCTTCTGGTCCCTTCCATCTTATGGCTCCCTCACCTCTGAGATCTCAGAGTCCTCTGTATTCAGCTGGAAACTAAGGGGATAGAGCAAGGAAGTAATAACTAAGAGGGAGGTTTTCTATGGTTATCTATATTTAGTCCTGGATATGGCAACCCTAACTTACACTCATATTCTACTGGCCAGAATGCTGTTACCTGGAGGTCAGGAAATTTGGTCTATCATTATGCCCTGGGTGAAAGGAAAATGAGTTTGGTGAAAAATCATTCAGGCCCTCTAGATTGACTCTGCAGTAGACTATAAGTTTCAGAAAGACACTGATTGTATTTATCTCTGTATCTTGATCATCTAGTATAATGTTTGATACATTATAGTCACTATAGAAATGTGTGCTGAAGGAATGACTTTGCATGAGACTATGTAGTAAGTCATGGCAGGGCTTTCAGGACGAACAAAGTGACCAATCTGTATAACTTCATATAACACGTTTAAGACAGCTTGAAGTTTTAGGGCTCTTTGTATTTGGAGGAAAGCATCCAGATGTCCAATATGCCAGGTTATAAATTTTTGTGCCATAACACTTATGAACAATGATGTTTTGAGTTACTGATTAAAGAAAATAACTCCCTTCTTTCTGGCAAACATTTCACCCTTAGCTTTATAATACTGGATGACACTGGATTCTGTTTAGGAATGTTGTATAGGTCAGTGACACTAGCAAATAGAATATACATTGTAATTTGTTGCTGATTGCTTTCAAAATTAGAGAATCTTCTAGATGATAGTTTGATTTGACACTTTTCAGTTCAATCACCAATATTATCTGTCATTTTGGAACTGCAATAGACACATGGTTATGTAGCAAATATCTTTTTTTAAAAAGTCTATTACTTGTTGGGAACCAGCAGTTAGCGTAATGGCTATGTCGCTGGACTCCCACGTAGTCAACCGCGGTTCACGTCCTGGACCTGGTGGCTTAAAACTCACGCCAGGCGCATGTGCGTGCATGCCCAAGATCCCGAGAGGAGAATGGAGGAGAAGGGATTGCGGTGTGACCATTCCCCCTGGGGGGTGATTTCTCACTTTCTGTCTCTATGTCTCTCTCT